TGCAAAGAGATCTGAAATACCAAAAGCATTTCTTCAAATCATAACAAAAAAGTCAAAATTTTCCGTTTTAAGATTTTAGCTAMCCAGCATAATTTGTATTCGTAAAATATTAAAGAATATCATAAAATAAAATGGGAGCGCGTGCTTTATGAGATATTCAGCTTCTCTCGTGTTCTGCCTATTTCCGCGTTCTTTATAACTGCACAAAGCACGCGCGCRCGTTTTCTATTTCTTCACTATTTTGATATTGTATTAGCGGTATTTCTGGTCATTTTTTTTCCGCTGGGGTTCGAACTTAGGACCTCGCGCTTGTGAAACGCACGTGRTAACCACTACACTACGGAAACTTGAGATTTTAACTCTTTGATTTCGAAGAAAACTTGCTGCCTAAATTACTATTTTTTGACAATTAATGTTCATATGTTGACCAATTCCTTCTATACTTACTTTTTTGTWGACATTTTATATAAGTGTTTCATTAATTTATTGCTCATTGGATCATGCAACCCCAGTTATTGGGGACGTCTCCAAGTCCCTGTGCGAATATACTAGCCCATAGCCACCTGTTTCTGTCTCGGTGCTGACCAAGAGTAACGCAGGTTCAGGAGACGAGATAACCAATGCCTAGATTTAACAACATTACACGAAGTTTGATTTTCAGAGAAATAAGAAATACAAATATGTCAACCTCCGTGGCGCAATGGATYAGCGCGTTGGACTTCTAATTCAAAGGTTGTGGGTTCGAGTCCCACCGGAGGTAACCATTTTCATTTATTTTTCTATTTTTCTTATGATATAAAGTTTTTCAGCTTAACTTAAGCTAATTAACTTAATTGTTTTTGTTGTGTTCCAAGCGTGCAATCCAAGTACAAGATTCCGCAGTGCATCTTTGTTGTTTTACCGATGCAAGGTAATGAAAAACTTGCGTTACCAGTTCTGCTTTATTTCCACTGACTTGTAAATTATACTGCTTGACGTAGATCTCCAGCTGTTTTGCTGTCAGAGAGTACATGACTTCATGTTCCTCTTTCCAGTTATTGCCTGGAAGGGTGTTTCATTATTTTATATTTTACAAATCTTTTTCAAAGTATTCAATTCAAAAATTGTCTCTCGCCCTAGGTTGCTTTCTATTACCTTAAAGCTGGAGAAAAATTTTGCCTATAGAAGATCAACTATGGGTGTCACAAGCACTGTTTAAAATCAGCAGAAAGACAGGAAAAGCAAAAACGGACTAGAGCAGGTACATGTCATTCTCCAGTCTGTAGTTCGTGAAATAGTTGGAGCAGGCGGAGCGGATGCTCTTCTCCGCTAATCGCGCAATTCGTATTCGTGGCCAGTCGTATCATGGACCTCAGGAAACTCATGGGACTCCGCCATTGACTCGGGGACCAACGAGGGTCTCGTCATTGCTGGTGGCAAACTTTTCTTTGCTGACAAGCTATGTTGTAGGCACTTCAAGGCCTTTCAATAGCAGCTTCACCTCATCGCGGCGCACGTGATCTTTATACCAGATCACCAAGGTGCTCTTGTTGATGTGGAACAGCTGGAGGTTTACATCTTCTAGTGCTTGGCTATTAAAAATTCTTGCTCTGATTGCGTTATATTCCTCGAGCACTAGTCGACATCTTGATGTGTATACGTTTCTTCCATGGTTTCCGTGTTACGTACGTGGAGCTGTGTGTTTTCCACACAGATGGATACAAATTGCTTCTACAAGCCTGCTTAATGATGGTGATGAAGCTGGTTTACMGGCTGTAATGAAGAAAAAGAATGGAAGAGTGAAACTCTAATACTTACACTCGCACTTGAATTAATAAAAAACAATAAACAGTTAAAATCGTTGGGAAACGGGAACGAACAGAAAGCGATCGAACTCAAAACGAAGAATACTAGCCAAAAGTCGAAGGTTTGAAGTTCTTGGACGTTACTCTGTAGAGCAGAGGGGCTGTTCCCAAACGTACGTGTTCGGAGGAGTGTCACGATACTTTTGTCACTTGCGTATTTTCTTGTCAGGATCAGTGGGAAACGGGCACGAACGCCATCTGATAGTTGGTTTAACATTCTGCTGTCCCATGCAATGAAGGTGCCTTTAAAATAAAAACAAAACTTGAAGTTAATTACACTATATGTACCTATTTTGGAATAATGGATAAATGTCAGGAAAAAGAAGATATATACCTTTACATGCATTGCAATCCATGTACTCCGTAGCAAGGTAGTAGTACTCTTGTGTGTCAAGTACCAGTCGCACACGATTGTAAAGGCCTTTAGACCTCAATGAACACTTTTCCTTGCAGTTCGGGCAAATAAAATCGACACCCCTTATCTTTCGTGGCATCCACAGAAACAGGCGACGCAGGAAGTACTGATTCGAAGATGCTACCTTTGTTTCATGCTTGACTTGTTGTGAATACCACAAATTGAGAAGAGTTGTCTGGAGCTTGTGTTTAGCGATGAATAATGCTCGCCCAACCCAAGCTTGGTCACCTGGAGCCATGTTCTCCTTCCACCCGATGGGGATCGGAGGCGCAGACTGAAGTCAGTGGCGCTTTTGATGAACGATGGTGTATTACTCTTCTCAGCTGGTTGATTACCTAACTAAAAAAGGAAAGAAAAGGTTAACTAAATTGTAGTTTCAAAAGCCAAATATTAAATAATGTCAAACTTACAGCGTCAGAGGGTCCTGGTGGGATGTCAAGAAATGAATCATTACTTGTACTAGTTAGGTACGTCTCTGGGCGTGGCACTACTCACGTTACTGGCCGGGGTACTAGTCACAGTAGAAGCGTTCTGGAAATCAGATAAGTTTTACAATTAGATATATCATCAATTAGATATATCATCAATGTATAATAGCAATCACTGCAAAAAAGTAGAGAAACATTAGTATAATAAACAAAACTACTAATCAATTGGACATTTCTCTATCTTTTCTATTTCCTTTGTCCATTTAGAAATTTTAGAAGGTCTCTGACCTCTTCCAAAGACAAACTTTCCCTTGGCATAGGAACGTAGGTGTTCATACCACTTCTTATTCGAGAGACCAAGTTTAGGCATTGTGGAGCATAACTGAGATAGATATAAGAAAAAAACAATTATATGGCCCCCTTCACATGTGTACTGATGGACCATTCTACCTCCCCTCTATTTATGAAAACACCCTACTGCACCTCTTTTAAAGTACCACTATGCCTACATGTATGCCACCTTACCACAACTTCATGTATTATAGTACCCTACCATATCACTACTTTAGCACCCTATCACACCTACATGTATAGCACCCTACCACACCTACATGTATAGCACCCTACTACACCTACATGTATAGTACCCTATTATCACACCTTTATTACAGTACCCTATCACACCACAATTACAGCGCCTTAGCATACCACTACTATGATACCCTACCACATCCCTATTGTGGTACCCTACCTACTGTACCTATATGTATACCACCCCAAACACCACCATAATACCTTACACACCTCCAATTCCCTACCAAATCTATATTAGGGTCATATAACACCTATATCATGTTTAGTACCCCACCACACCTACTTATACCCGACCACCACTATAAAACATACCCTACTACACCTGTTACAGTACCCTACTGCACTTATCACAAATATATGTAACACTAATTACCAAAGTTTTATGCATGTCAAAAACTTTAATTGGCCTGTAAAGAAATAGTTAGCAAAATATACGGTAGCAGACAAGAATTCCATTGTTTTCTTTTGTTTTACTTTGACTGTTAGTCACTAACTATACAACGTTGTTTGTTGCGCCGAGTAAAATCACTCTTTCACATTAAACATGTATTACCCTACCATGCCTATCCTGTTACATATTAAACATGTCGTACCCTACCACAGTATCATGATTATATATACAGTAACATATCACACCTAGAGCGATTTTAACCCACAAAACAAAGTTGTATAATTAGTGAATAATACTCAAAGTGCAACAAAAGAAAACAATAGAATTAGTGTCTACTTACCCTTTTCCCAGCCCACGGAGGGTCAGAAAAAAACCTCTGCTGGCAGGGTAGTGTCTACTACTAAGTAAAATCATTCTGTCATACGTATAGTACAGGGAAATCACTAAACTCATGAAATAGAAATTGCTTTTTTGAAGTGTAATAGTCAAATACTTATTGACAAAAAAACATATTGGAATCAGGGCATAGTCTATACTAAAGTGTATTAGTCTAATATCAATAACACAGGTTTAGTGATTTTACTCCATACTACCGCAACTACTAGTGTATATAGGTAGACAGTTATTGTTATAATATAAGGCTACTTCATTCCAATACTATGATACATTTAGCATACCAAAAGCATAGTGTGCTTTCAACGTCAAACACAGTCACACAGATTAGAATTGCATGTACAATAAATACCTCCTTACTTTGACATACAAAACTATATAAACTCTTATGAACTAGAAAGTTGGTTGAGATACCTACATACATAGTAGAAAGAGTACAACTTGCTCTTCTTCCAGACTAATGGTCCCATCAAATCTTGGTTGCAACTAAAAATAATGGCTTTTGTGCTCTCTTTTATAGTGGTGTAGAAATTCCATTCATGAAAACATTACTAAATAAGGACTGATGTGTTTATTTGATATTATCTTGGCACTGCTAAGCGGCGAAACACCGAAACGAAACACTGGAACGAAACAGAGACAAATTCTTGATATTATCATACAATAAAAGAATAAAAGAAATCAAAATATACGATAGTACAATGATACGAAAGCGATAAAGCTTACCTTTATGCCCGTGCTTTATGATCTGTGATCGTTTATTTAATGTCGTTTCGCTGGCTATCAATGCAATTCTTTCTCGAATTTGAAGGATTCCGATGGTTCTTTTAACAAAACATTTATAGTCTTAACTGCTTCTGTCACAGGGAGTCCGGCTTGGTAATGCCAAATCGGTAAAACGATCAGGTTTCATATGTTGATGACATTACATAATAATCGTAACTCAATACACCCATATACAAACGGTCACTACGTAATAGAACACCAGTGTTTGTAACGCGTAACTTAATACCGTGATAAAATTCAAATTCAAATACGTAACGCACGCGTTAAGAAGAGAAGAAACGGGGCGTCTAACACTATTGCATTACAAATTCTATTAGTAGTGACCGTCAAGGCTTTGCTATGTTGCGCAGAGTTGATGCCGTCAATCACGCAAGGGTAACCCCGTCTAGAAAAAAACTCTAAATTTAATTTATATGTCATTGTATCATTACCTTGATAGTGGAACCCTTTAATGTCTGACATTTACTAGACCYTTTCTTTTGGTTGCAATGTTTTCCCATTTCAAACCACGTCTGTCACACGTTTCCTTACCGACAGACGTCTTTTTGCCGACACGCTGCTCCTTACCGTTGTCACAAGTCTCCTTAACTTACCGACAGACGTCTTCTTGCCGACACACGGCTTCTTATCGTTGTCACAAGTCTAACGTACCGACACACATCTTTTTGCCGACACCCGGCTCCTTACTGACACACAGCTCCTTACCGTTGTTACAAGTCTCCTTAACTTACCGATAGACGTGTTCTTGCCAACACGCTGTTCTTTGCCAACCACGCCTCCTTTTCGTAACACGGCTCTTTCATGACCCACGACTCACTGCCGGCACAGCCCTTTGCCTTCA